GGGAGGAGGAGAGGCCGCCGCCCGAAGTCGAGGAGGAGCCACTAGGAGGAGGTGGCAGCGGCGGGCCCGGCCTCAGGGCCGGTTCGACGGAGGGGTGCCTCCTCGCGGGAAGACGCGGACGGCCCGGAGGAGGAGGCGGAGGAGGCGGCGGCGGCGGCGATGGTGGTCGGGGGCAGTGGCTGCAAGGAGCAGGAGTTGAGCTACGAGCTGCAGCAGGGCTACCGCATCCTGGGCGAGTTCCTGCAGGAGAAGCACCGCGGCCTCACCGCCCCCTTCCTGCAGCCTTTGGGGGGCGTTGCCGCCGGAGAGGAGGAGGAGGCGGCGGCGGCGGAGGGGCCGCGCGGCGGGGGCCGGGGCAGTCGCTCCCTCCCGCAGCCTCCCGGGCAGGGCCTGTGTCTGCTGAAGATGGAGGAGAAGTTCAGCAGCGGCCAGTACGGGGGCATCACCGAGTTCGTGGCGGACTTCAGGTCGATGCTGGAAACGTGCTACCGCCTGCACGGAGTGGACCACTGGGTCTCCAGGCAGGGCCAGAAGCTGGAGATGATGCTGGAGCAGAAGTTGGCGCTGCTCTCCCGGTGAGTGGACGCCGTCCCAGGTGGGCCTGGCGGGCCGACACAAACACACCCTCACACGTGTCCGAGGAGGGGCTGGGCCAGGGGCCGGGGGGCGCCGCTGATAGGCGCGGAGTCCGGGCTGGGGAGCCCTGGGAGGAGCGGCCGCTCGGGGCGGGGGCCCGCAGGGGTGTGGCGTGGCGGGTGTGGGCGGACGAACCCCCGCACCCAGGTGGGAAGAAGCGGAGAAGGGAGCCCAGGCCCGACCCAAAGAGCGGGTCAAGCTTGTAGATGTCAAGTAAAATGGTGCCCGTAGGGAGAAGGACAAGGGTAGGCGGAGGAAAAGTTCCAGTGGGAGGGAAGTTGGATCCGTAGCTTTTAGAGAGTTTCAGCGTGACAGTTTAAAAAAAATGTTTAGGATGAAATGGCGTTAGGAAAATAAATTTTAGCTCGTGTAAAAAGGTGGTAGTTTCATACCATTAAAAAATAGGATCGTTTTTCTACCCCATGTCGGCCATCTGAGATTTATGGAGTTATTAAATGGTTAATGATTACTCTGGTGTACTCCTGATCTTTTCTCTCAGCTTCATCTCAGGAGACTGAACTTTTGCAATTATAATGGGTGCATCAACGCAAAATTGTTAATACGGTTAGATATTTGTGTGTATTCTACCACAGATCATAGGCTCATCAGGTGGCACCGTGCTGCTGGTGTACTCCACCCATATATCTAATTTAGTAAGAGGAAATAATGGAGGCTACTAAAACGTATAAATTTCTAATAATTATGTAATTTATACAAGCCAAATTAATTTCTCAAGTGGCAATTTTTTAGGAATAGAAAAATAATTGACTCTTGCTGAAAATAATTGAATGGTAGTTTGACTCTTTACTAGCTGAAGTGAACTTGAACAAGTCACTTTACTTTTTTGGCTTTAGTTTCATCATCTGTAAAATGGGGATAATAATAGTACCTACCTCATGGGGTTGCTGTAGGATTAAAGTCAACAGTGCTGGTCCCATAGTGAGCCAAATATAAATGTTAATCTTTATAGTAGTAGTAGTAGTTGAATAAAATGAATATTTTTCTCATCTCTGAAACGGGGTATTCTACTAGTGTTTTTCTGGAGTAGTTGTTAATTTTTTGGTCCTTGATTTATAATTGTAATTTTAAAGTGATCTAATTTGTCAACTGGCTTCTTTATGCTGTTTTCACTACCATCAGTGACTTCTTTCATTGAAAACAGTAGGATTCTTCTTGAATCCTTTTATAAAGTAGAATTATTTGGTAACAATTGTTCACAAATTTGCTTTGTAGATTACTCTATATACTCTTTTAGTGACATTATCCTTGTATGTAGTGTATTTGTTACCCTTGACTCCACAGTGTTTTGTAGTTATGACCGACATAAACTCAAGTTGATGTCACAAGATTTTAGATTGTGGAAGGACTCATAGATTTAATCTAATCCAAGTATCCAGTTTTATAGATGTAGAAATAGGATTTAGGATGAGGCAAGAGAATGGCTGTATGAAAGCGCTAAGAAGCAGCATATGGGTTTGAATGAATTACAGATATTTTCAAAAGCATTGTGTGTATAGTAAATAATTTTCGAGTCCCACAAAAGAGCAAGGGAGACTATTTCTCTTTCACATAAAGGTATATAAAGGTAAATTTCTAAATGCTTAGAATCAATCCCAGGGGGCTTATGCTCATTCTGACATGATTTAATAGCATCCATACTTAGAATTTAAACTTATAACAGTCTGTTGTTTGTAAACATAATATATATGTGACATTATTATTCTAAGAGAGATAAAATTCTTGCATTTTAGTAGCAAAAAGTAATATGATGGTCTTAAACAGATAAAAGTTTTATAAATAATAGGTTTGCCAGACCACACTGGTTGATACTAGGAAGTCATTTCTTTTTATGTACTAGCCCACTCAATAAATGCTTTGAGTGGGCACAACTTTGAGAAAAAAGCCTAAGTTGCAACTCTTCAGTATGCATTTAGGATATATAGATGTTCCAGAGCAATGTTCTATAGACTGTCCATATAAATAAGATTTTCAGCAAATAGATGACCCAGATACCTTATATGTAAATAAGTGGTACATGGTATCTTAGTACTATAAAAAAAACAATCATTTAGATATTATCACTTAAGGTATGTTGTGTGTTTTATTTACATTTTTATTTATTGATTTTAGAGAGAGAGGCAAGGAGAGAAACATCAATTTGTTGTTCCAGTTATTTATGCATTCATTGGTTGATTGTTATATGTTTCTTGACTGTGGATTGAACCCTCAATTTTGGCATATCGGGACAACACTCTAACCAACTGAGCTACCCAGCCAGGGTTCATTTAAGTTTTGTCCTGTCTTCTGTTAGATATTGAATTAGCTCTTATTTTCAAATGTACAGTAAGGAGAACTTTACATCTGCTTTATATACTAGTGAGTCCTTTAGTGAGCCCAAGACAAGTTAGATTAGGTTAAAAGGATGCTATATCCTATATAATAAAAGGCTGATGTGCAAATTGTCCCCTTGGGAGCTCGACTGACCGGGAGTTTGACCGCTCGCTATGATGTGTGCTGACCACCAGGGGGTGGCGCGGAACAAAGGAAGGCCCTGGCCAGCAGTCGGGGGAAGGAAGGCCCTGATCGGCCCTGATCACCAGCCAGGCCTAGGGACCCTACCTGTGCATGAATTTCGCTTACTGGGCCTCTAGTTAATATAGAACAGCCCAATGGAATTAGTACTTCGGACTCATTATATAACTTGAATCTCGATTGCTTCATCTGTGCTATGAGAGTGCTAAGCTAGATTTGTTGATTGTATATGAGGGTATCTGTCAGAGCAAGACATTCAAGTCCCTGAAATCAAAAGTTAAGTTCTCTGCTTTTAAATGGTTTATAGTTGAGTAGGGAAATGGAGACTTTAAAAAGATAATGATTCTGTAATGGACATATAAACAAGGTACAGAGAAATTTAAGAGGAAGGAGACATAAATCTGAAGGGAAGGGACAATTGAGAGGAAGAAGGAGAAAGGGGAAAGAGACTACAGTACTTACAAGACATCATATAGAAGTACACACTTGAACTGACTTTCGAAGTTGAATATTGCTACTGGGATTTTTTTTGGAGGGTTTGAAATGAGCATTCCAGAATGCTGAACTGCTGTGAATGCAAGGTATGAAATAGTATAATGTTTCTGGGAACTATAGTCTATATGGCTACAGTATGGTCTCCAGATAGTGTCTGCAACCCAGGAGATATGCAGGGTGATTGATTGGGGTGAGGAAAGAAAATATTACAGGGTCAGTATATTCAAACTAACGGCCCGGAGCACGAAATTTGTGCACAGGTAGGATCCCTAGGCCTGGCCAGCGATCAGGGCCAATCGGGGCCTTTGGGCTGCTGGCCAGGGCCTTCCTTCCCTGGCTGCTGGCTGCCGGCCAGGCCCTTCCTTCGTTCCGTGCCGCCCCTTGGTGGTCAGTGCACGTCATCGCGAGCAATCAAACTCCCAGTCTCCTGGTCAAACTCCTGAGGGAACACTTTGCATATTAGCCCTTTATATAGAGAGATTTTATCTTTTTAATTTTGGGCTTGCTTTTTAAAAATTTTATTTTATTTATTTAATCCTCACCCAGGGATATTTTTCCATTGCTTTCAGATAGAGTGGGAGGGGGGAGAGAGAGACATATTGATTGGTTGCCTCCAGCACAAGCCCCTATTGGTCCAGGGATGGAGCCTGCAACCCAGGTACATTGCCCTTCAACCAGCAACCCTTTGGTGCTGGATCCCCCACTTTAACCATGAGGCAAAACCTGCCAGGGCTTGGCTTGCTTTTTGTGGTGTTTTTAATAGCACTATGTCTGTAGTTTATAAGTACAATAGTATGTTAATATATGTTGGTAATATATACCAACATATTATGCATATTTGTAATATAACTAGAACCAAGAAACAACATATCTATTCTCAGGAAGGTTATAGTTTTAGAAGGGATCTCATTCATTTGAAGCAACTGAAAGAAATATCAATTAACATTAAAAACGGGGAGAAAATAAGTGGAAAGGAATAGAGAATACTTAACAGTTAGGAAATTATGCACAAAGCTTTAGAAACTGTCAAATAGTAATAAGAATTTTTGACTCTGGCAAATTTTAATCCATGATGTTTTTGAAAGCTTTAAGAATATTGCTATATAGTCAGAAGATTGCTTTTTCTAGTTTTAAAAGGTTGTGGTTAAAGAAGAGGCATCATCAGTGATCCCAATAGAGCTAAACCTAAGTATTGAGTGCAGTGATGAAAGAGTGAGGGATTTTAATTAAGACATTTATTGAGGACCTGCTGGGTACTTGGAAGGCAGTTTTTCTCCCCAAGAGGTTTAAAAGATGGTACATATACAGTTATGATAAAAAGTAAAATATCTTAAAACTGTGGTTCATTCTCAAATTTATTCCATTGTCAGAACACCTGGCAATCATGCAACTATTTGCAGACTATCATGAAATATTGATATATTTGGTTGTATCATATGATTTTTTTTTTTTGCTGGGGAGCCCCAAAGGCTTTGTAAAATTACAGGAGGAAACCCTTGATTGAAGAAGTTGTATTTATTACCTTAGTTTTTTCCCCCTTACAAATCAGAGAACATAATCAGGATGGTAGATCTTGGTTCATTTAGCTCATGAAATAACTATATTACAAGGGTGCATACTTTGAAGACTACTGTGGTGAGCTTTATTATAAAGTATTAAGGGAGTGCAAAGGAGTTGTAACTGCAAGGAAGGAGGAAGGAGCTGGAATTGAAAAATACTTAATTAGATTTTATTCTAGAGGTTAAAGTTTTGGAAGGTGGATAGAATATTGATAGATGAAGTTGAGGAGTTCATTTAACAATTACTTGAACTATTATATGATAAGTAAAGCCTTGTAGATACAATGATAAATACGACATTATTTCTTATTTCAAGGTGGTAGATAAACAGAAACAATCGAAGGTATGGAGTC